GGGACAGGAATTTGTAGTGTTTGGCTTCTAGAGAAAGGACTGGCAGAGATGGAGTGCTTAGAGGGAAGGAGGTGGAAAGAGCTCCACAACCCAAGCAGATGCTGAATTTAGGAGGAGTTAAGGCATTGTTGATGTCCATCCAAGAGCCAAGAAAGTGCCCCTTGAGTTGACAAAATTTGCTCAAAATTTCATTAGATTAAAACAGATTTTATTTTTTATTTTTATTGAATTTTTGTGAATTTCATGCAATATATTTTGATTATATTTGGATCCCCTCCCCTAACTCCACCCCCACTTACTACTCCCACCCAATTTCATGTACTTTAAAATACATATTATATTCTGTTATATCATGGCCTATAGGGTCAAATGTGTGTTCCCAAATGCCCTTTGATATGAGTTTATCCACTGGAGCTTGGTCAACCTACCAAGAGGCTCACTTTTAAATGAGACTGACTTGTGGGAGAGCTTTTTTTAGCCCTATAAATCAATAGTCTGGCTTTGGATAAAGTAGCACCCTGAAGCTAGAAAACTCATATTGGCCTGCTAGAATCTTCCATGTACCATCTCATTGAGATGCTAAGGAAAATCCTCTTGTTTCACATGGTGATTCTTTACCTTCATATGATAATAGTAATATAAGAGAGAGAATTAGCTTCAAAACTTGGAATCTCAAAGCATGATGCCACTATCCCTGATAATTAGACAACTGTGAATTCAGGCTCAAACAAGAGCATAAACCAATATTCTGAATACTTTATGTTGTGTTCTTTTAGTGCTCTAAATCCTGGAAAGGTAGGAAGATGCATATAGGAGAGGTAACATCAACATGAGGACATGGAGGAAGCAATCCTGGAAGTCAGATGAGCACTGAACCACTTTTGTGTTTCATAGAAATTATGTTGCTAGCATTATATTTGTGATGTAGGTAAAAATACCTCTACCTATAGTTCCCTGGGGAAAAGCAAATAGGGCTTTGCTTGTCAAATCCTATTAAACCCACTAAAAACATCTTAGATAAGAGTTGAGTTGAAGGAATAAAGAATGCAATCAGCCTTACTTGTACAAGAAGTACTTTCTAGAAAACCTGATCATTTTGCAACTAATTGATATAAATAGTCCCTTGCCCAGTGTTTGCAGCTGGAGACCACTTGTACATTTTTATGACTATTTGTGTAGTTAAATAACATTTGCTTTTTTTCTAGCTTAAGAATGTGGGTCCCACCAACTTTCTGTTTTAAGTGAATTTAAGATTATGCAAGGCAGTATTATGTACAGATAGTGTCCCATATCTGGGATACGCTGCTTTGCTTGAAAATGAATGAATAGTAACCATTCAGAGATCTGTTTTCAATCTTCCCCTAGCTTCTCTAACAGTAAAATGAAGAAATGAAAAGGCAGTGCTTTCATGCCTAGTGTAGCATTACCATAGTACCTCACCCACCTTTTTCTAAGATCAGTCTGGCAGGCCACTTCAAGACTTGGTTAGGTCTTCGGAAAGCAGTGTGGCTGAAAAAATTAAAGCAGGAAGCATCCATGGCTCTCTTATTCACCATTGTTTTGAGACACCTGAGCAGTTCATAAATGGGAGCAGGTCAGTGAATACTGACTGAATGAAGGCACTGGCCTGTGGGTCTGAAATACCTCCAAGAAAAATAGTAGGTAAAGTGATCTATAGCTGCATCAACCCACTCTCCACATTTAAGTCAATTTAGAATCAATTAAGTTAAATTCAGTTCCTCATTCATACCTGCTGGAGGTGGAGTCTAAGTGCTTGATAGCCACGTGAAGCTGGTGACTGCTGTACTGGACTGTGCAAATACTGAACTCCATCATCACAGACCACTGTGTTAGTGCTTTAGAAGAACGTCAGCAGAGGGCCACGTTAGTGACCCCAGAATTTTTAAGTGATATTTCCTTGTGGCCATAATGTTCACTCAACATAGGAAGCCTTATATGTATGTCCTTGAGACTGATAGCCAGGTAGCAACGAGATTGTTAGCAAAACTATCATTCAGCCATTAGAAATTGGCACTGGCCATTCTCAAAGATTCCCTGGCCCTTTCTCTAGTCCCGTGAAATGAGTGAGCAAATGTCTATCCCCATTGCAAGGGTGGCAGACTCCTCAGGGGCATTGCCCCACACTGTGGGCCTCAGATTGGTGGCTGCTAACTTGGGTTTTTATAGTGCCTTGACCTTCATGAGGGCTTTCTAAGGGTCTTTCCAAAGGCTCCCACATCTCTATTATAGCCAAGTAACAGATGGGAGAACTGTCAGCCTCAAGAAGGCCTTAAAAATCATCTCATTTAACCCCCTCGTTTTACCAAAGAAATCAAGTCCCAGAGAGTCACTCAGCTAGTTTTAGGCCATCTGAGAAAGAATTAACACTGAACTCAGCTACCTCTTGGCTATTTATTGGCTACCTCTTCCTGTGTCTGTTTCTTTCACTCTAAACTGGGAATTAATATCTTTAGGACTCACAAAATTGTTAATAAAAGGAAGATAATATCTAATATTAAATGTATGTCTTATAATTCACAAAATCAAAGAAAAAATAAACTCACGCATATATTCTCATTTAATTCTCAAAAAAAATTGTGTGAAGAGTTAGGCTCCGAGGCAGAATGACCTATCCCATATAACAAAGCTACTGTGAGCCCAAAGTACTATTTCTCTCAGGACTTAGAAAACCTTAAACTCTTGTACCTGTGTAATGCTATAACCATGTGGCATTACTAGGTTTTAGTCTGTGGCATTTTGCAGTTCAGGAGTTAGCAACATTGAAAGTTATTACTTTATTTAAATGATGAAGATTTTTTTCATACTTTGATAATCTGCCAGTTGCACAGACTTCCGCATGGGCTGCTTTGAAGTGTATTTTTAAAATGAGAGAATCCAGATTCGTAATTAGATTTGCAAATGTTGGTTGTACAGTTTCAGCATCTAAAGAGTCTGAAGAATTGTGTTATTAGTGGTGATTTGGTTTTTGTAACCCACCCCCAAGCAATTAGCCCTTTTAGAAGAAACAAAGTATGCTCTTTGGGGATCATTTCCTCTATTATCTCTTTATTTTCACACCAGATAAGCTTGGTGTGCTCACAGAATTAGCCATATACTGATTATGGCAAAGGACAATCCTTTATAAGGCATTCTTCCCACTTTGACTCCTAAGTATCGGGAGAATGCTGCCTAAATTATAAAGAAAAGCCACAATGAAGGAATAGTCACTTCTTGAGAGATCGTTGGTCTTTTGCTCTTTTTTTAAAATCATTGCAGTGGAAACAATTCATTCTTTTATAAGATTGCTAGGAGAGATTAATTTAGTTCACTCCCCAAATCAAATTCAAAGTGTCTGTAGCCTGATTCCTCAAACCTTAGCCGTTTTATTGTTTGTACTGGGTACAGAGGTTGAGTTTATAGATAAAAGAATAGGATTATTTCATTACATACAGCAAAGAAATAGCTTTTCAGTTTTCTTACATTAGCATATGAAAATTATGGCATTCTTTATGTCAAATTTTCTTCAAGACTAAATACATATAAAGGTGAAAAGAAAGAAAAATCATTAGAGAATGCTGTGAATGGAAAGGAACTTGGGGCTGGGAGCCCACCTTTGCGGTCCTACTTCTCTACTGTCTGAGGAAGGAAAAATGTCTAAGAAAAAGAAAAATACCAAAAGAAAAGGACCCTTGATATTCACACCATTGACCTGGTAATTGTTTTCTAGGTGCCCAAAGAAAGCTCAGAAATGGAGACAACCTGATACTCAGATAAATAGTTCTAAGCATTATTTGTAGTAACAAAGGAATGCAATCTGTAATTTCATAAATGAGAGAAATGGTTAAAATGCACTTCTGTGGCATAAAACACTACAGAGACATTTAAAAGCATGTTTTAAATAATTTGAATAATTCATATCCATATAACTTATATTTTATTTCACAATTAAAAGTAAAAAAAAAAACCTCTGAGTTTATTTCTGTATCTGAAAAGAAATACACACACACACACACACACACACACACACACATACACATATATCCATATAATATATATGAAGGACTACTTTGGCAGAAAAGCCCAACCTGAATTAATGTGAGGCTCTATTTTGTCCCAATTACTGAGTAAACCCCTATTTTTACATAAAACATTTATACTTTTAATAATTTACATAGAAACATTTAATAATTGAGCTGTGGGCTGCTGCTCTCAACTCTTACAGGCTACTACAAATGGTTGCACATGTGCAAGGGTAATATGGTAGGGGTTGCATCCTAATACTCTTAAATCTAAAATAGATCTGAATTCTGAAATATATCCAACCCCAGAAGTTACAGTGAAAGGACTATCAGCCTAAACAGAATATAGTCAGTGATTTATCCACGTCAAGGTGACTGTTGCTTTTTGTTTTTCTCTTATACTCTTTCCTATCTCTACATGTTCTATGGCAAACATAGATTAACTTATCATCCGAGAAAATAAATATTGATAATTTTATGGATGAAAGTCCGATATGAGGAACCTTGACTAAAGCCAACCAGATCATCCTAATTTAAACATGAACTTGCTTGAGGCATCAGAGAATCATTTCGTTGTCAGTCAGAACTTGCAAATTAATCATTTGTTTCCAGAATCTCCTAGTTAGGACAGTCACATAAACCAAGATGTTTGAATTTGTTGGAGGAAAGAAAGTGTTCTGAGATAACACAGAGGAGCTAACTGTGTGATGGGATATTGCCCACCTCCAAGGTGCCCTTGGATTCAGGAGAGTACCTGATGAGGGATGCTTGCCTGCAGGAAATGCCTCTAGGAAGAGGGCTTCCACTTAGGTGGAGTCTAGGTATTGATACCTAGGGCTATTTGGTCATGTTCTGTTTCGTCAGAAGGCATACCACCAGAACCACAGTAGGTTGCTGGAGCATTCATAAAGAGAAGGGTATTATGAGGGAGGGGAATCATTACATGCAACATTTACTCTATTAACAGACTTTTCCTCCCAGTGTAGGTGGACACTCACTGATCTATCACAAGGTTGCCTCGCTGAGCTCTGGGGTCTGTATCTGAATGGATTGCTGTAGCCTTCGTATTTCTTCTTCTGCCCAGTTCCCTGCATCCTAAGACTCGAAGCCAGGACAAGATCTGAGGAAATTATATGTAAGTTTTTACTGAGATTTCTTTTTCCTTAACTAAATAAGATAAATATGAGCTGATAGTAACAAATAGCCTAAGTACTCACAAATTACCTCTCTTAACAAAGCATCATGGGAGATATAATTGAGACAAGGAGCAAGGGTTTGAATCTGCGTATTAGTGGTTCCTTCACTTGGTGGTTCTCAAATTTTAGCTTGCATCAGAATCACCTGGAGGTCTTGTTAAAGTACAGATTGCTGGCTCTCACACCCAGAATTTCTGATTCAGTAGATCTGGTGTCAGCTAGCAATTTGCTTTCCTGACACATTTCCAAGTGATGCTGTTGTAGCTGCTCCAAGGATCTCATTTTGAGAATCATTGCTTTAGCTCAAGTATGATTAGAAGGATGAGTGATGAAGGTAGGAGACTGCGTGTGCTTTAGTATTAAATACTATTAAGATGTGGAATTCTGTACTTAAAGCACTGACACACATCTCAAAGACATGTGCCACCACACCTGTCTCAGAAAACAATTTTAAGGTCCATATAGCAACTTCAGTTTGAAAGTTCAGTCATTACCATGTGCAGCGTTTCTCTGTAGTGCTGGCCATTCTTTCCTCTTGATTTTTATAAAGTAAGAGCAACATTGTTGCTATTAGCTTAAAGCAGCAGCTAGTCTTTTTGACAGGTATGTATAATGCGCTGCCCGATATGCTCAAAGGGGGAAGCAAATGTTTTTTCCCCTTAGAAATTCATCATAGTATTATTCTTCCCTGACACACTTGTGATTTTATTCACAAAGAAACATGGAAGGCGACACACCCCAGTAAAAACCCACCAACAAGACTAGGTTTTTATGGGGGTCTAAGTCCTCAGGACTGCCGTATTTTGAGGATCAGCCTCTTACTGTGTTAGTTTTCAAACAGAAAGCTAACTGCCTATCTGCTAAGAACAAGGACAGTTTTCTCTGCATTAATAGAAAAAGTAAGAGTCTGACTAAGCAAACGCATACTTGGATACTTGTGAGCAGACATACAAATGCACATATGTGCCCATGAATATGTTATATGTTACTAAGTTTTCACTGTAGAAATTTTAACTATGCTTTCCTTTGAATTCATTAAATCAATATGAATATAAAGTAGAATGATACTGGCCTGTCCAGTAAACATTTGAGAAATAGCTGAGTATTTTAAAGCTGTGGGTAAAGCTCCATGATTTATAATATTTTGCTTGGATATGGTAAATGTTATCATTCAAGTAGCACTCAAGATTTGCAATTCTTTTGTTATATCGCTTTAGAATTGAGAATATTCATTGTCATTAAAGTAATTGTCAAGCAACTATGAGATGCTAAATGAAATAAGGCAGATGCAGAAGGGCAAACATTCTAGACTGTCACTTATATGAGGTACCTAGACTTGTCAACTTCCTACATCCAGAAATAGATGGGTGGTTGCTGGCAGTAGGGGCAGAGGAATTGGGAGTTCTTCAGTGAGGAGAGGATGAATTGGAAAGATGAATATGTTTTGGAGATGGATGTGGCAGTAGTTGCAAAATAATGTGAATGTACGTTATGTCCCCAAAGTGTACATTTAAAGATGATTAACATGATAATTTTTATGTTACATTTTAATATAATTTAAAGAAATACATGAATACCAGAGCTTATCCTTCCTTCTAAGAATGCTGGTGCTCGACAGTGATGTTACAGTTTGAGAGAGTGGAGTGGTACCACGAGCCACTCCCTCATCCCCACTACCTTTGTATAGCTCCCAGGGACAGCAGAGCAAAGGATGGGCTGAAGGAAACTGACCGTTAACAGCTGTAATCTCTACCAAATACGACATGGCAGAAGCTGCTTGGCTGGTCCCACAGCAGGCTGCTCCACTTCCTTGGGAGTGTTCTTGGGCCAGGCCACCTCAGAGCAGTGTGCACGGTGTCATGAGTTGTGTGCCTAACCATGGTTCCTAACGGGTCTTGCTTGGTGGAGGTGGACATGTGGGTGAAGCCAGGGAAGAGAGACAGTCCCGCATAGGAGAAAAGGAGTTTTCACACAGCTTATTCTCCTGCTTTAAGACCTCTGGCTATGGAGAGTCCTGTTCACATCCAAATGAGGCATCATTTTCCCCATCACCCAGTCACTGTGCTGTTGAAAGGAGCAGGTACTACTGTTCAAGTCACAGAGCAGATCGGGGAAACACTGGGTTAGTCCATCCAGCTCTGCTTTTCTTGCTTTTTGCTTTTTGTTGTTTCTAGAAAGCTGGTTTAGAAGCACAGCCAACAGATTCTCATTGGCCCTAGTAACCATGTTTTCTTCAGATCTGTACTTAATTTTAGGCCCTGTCCCTGGGACTGACCATACACATGCATCCATGGGCAGATATAGTTTGACACTTTCTATAGTTGTATCGAGATCAAATGCAAGGGGGAGAGATGGCCATATGCTCTAAAGCCAATGTTCTGAATTTCCCACTTTCTCCTTCAGCTGTCAAGATAAGTGTGTGTGTGTGTGTGTGTGTGTGTATACACACTCATACACCTGTAAATACAGCTTAAAGAGATGGTATGACCATAATAAAGATGAAACGAAATTACAGAAGTTAAAAGACAATATATGCCAATCAGTCCCCTCATCCTCACTCCAGAATTTCCAAACCTGCTTAGAAATAAACGTTGTGCCTTGCTGAGATGGTGAAAGTCAAAGCAAAGCAACAAATGTTTCTGGCTTAATTGATGTCATATTGTTTTAAGTAATTTTTTTTTTTTGTAGAAAAGAAAACCCAGATCAGGAAGTCTGAGGGAGAAGAAACTCAGTGTAAATTCACCTCTGACACCCACATGGACCTACCAGCACCTCGCTTGAGGTGAAATCACGTTTAGTTAAGATACATGCATCCCCATGAGTTCAGACAACATAACTGTGGGAGCACACTGACACAGATTCCTCAAAGAAGACTAGCAAGCTGGCTAGCACCCAGATAAAAAAATGCCACAAAATGGAAAAAATTCTGGGGCTCTACTCGGCCTTCGTGTTTCTTAGTGGACAGATGTGCCTGGTTCCAGATTCTGACTTGTTTACTGTAGGCTTAGCTACCTGGAACATAAAAAAACCAGACCCTGAATTAGCCACTTTCCGACTCCCCACCCCCACCCCAGCCCTTCCCACACACCCACCCCACCTCACATCCCACTTCCCTTTTTCAGAGATAAAGGCTCAGAAAACAAGGCAGCTTTGGTTTTCTGTGAGGGAGGGATATACTCTAGAGAGTGCTTTCAGCTTCTGCCTCTGACCTGCTGAATCACTGAGAATAGTTAAGTGTTTTATAATTGGAACAGGAAACTGCCTTGGAAGGACCTTCCACAAAAAGCATTTTCTACCTGTCATTGACCAGAAAACTGAAGCAAAAAATCATCTTGTCTTCAGTCTAGTTAAGAGGATTCATTGCATCTTCATACATTCTAAATATGTTGATGCAGGATAGAAAACACATTCATTTTTATTCTCAACATTCTTGAGAAACTGTGGTGTTTTTGCCTTATCCCCACCTTCCCAGTGCCAGAGTTAAGGGCTAGAGCTTATCCCCACCTTCCCAGTGCCAGAGTTAAGGGCTAGAGCTTCCATGTGTGTTTTGGAAGCGAGCAGTAAGTTGTGGTGTAATTGCTGTCAAGAGTAATGTGTGGGGGCTGGAGAGATGACTCAGCAGTTAAGAGCACTGGCTGTTCTTGCAGAAGACCCAGGTTCGAATTCCAGCACCCACATGGCAGCTAACAACCATCCGTAACTCCAGTTCCAAGGAATCCAACGCCCTCTTCTGTCCTCTGCAGACACTGCATGACAGGTACACTTAGATATATGCAGGCAAAACACTAATACGCATAAAGTAAAAACAAATACTTTTTTTTTAAAAAAAAGAGTAATGTATTGAACTGCTCGTGAAGCTGTGTGTTTAGCCTCTGTAGTCATTGGGGAATCATCACATAATTTTAGATCCAGTTGTGTTAGTTTGTTTTTAGAAGAATATTTGTTGTGCTCATTTATAACAGTCTCAGTTTCACAATTATATTTATTCACAGAATCATCAAAATGAATTTTCTCTTTTTTGCATGCATGCTTATAGTAGAGAGTAGGTAGTGTTGCCAGCACAAGAATACATGTTAATAATCAATCAGAACTCCCAGAGTCTTCCCTGGTCTCTAAATAAGCTAAACTATCCTGCACTATAAAGCTGCCTACTAAGTAATATCAACAGTAGCATAAATGGTTTATCAGTTTATTCAAATAACTTCCAACCTGTTTGGTGCTAAAGAAGTAACTTGGATGCACCTGTCACTAGTGAAATGATGCCTCTCACTATTACCAGGAAATTTGGGGTTCCGTTTGATGTCTTCTAACTCTCACTAAGTAAAAGAATTTTAAAATGGACTCAAGGGCTGGCAAGACGGCCCAGTAGGTTAAGACACTTGCCACCAAACCTGATGACCTCAGTTGTATCATTGGGACCCACACAGCAGAAGAAGAGAACTGACCCCTTCAAGTTGTCCTCTGACTTCCACACCTGTGCGATGGTGTGCATGTCTGTGTGCCCGTGTGCGTGCACATGCATACACACACACACACACACACACACACACACACACACACATATATACTACTAAAATAAAATAAAGTTTTTAAATAGGAAATGTGAAATGGACTCAGAAGGAAGTTTGGGGACCATTTGATTGTAGAGTTTGAGAGAAAAACAAAGGCACAGGCAAGCTGTAAATCTCAACAGCTGCTTACAGGAGGGAGATGAAGACAGAGAGAGGAAAGAGAAAGCATGTGATTGAGGTGGGCTCTAAGAAAGCCACCATGCTCAGCAATGGAGCTGCATGGTAGAAGCGGTGGGAGTGGGGTGCACTTCAGAGAAAGAGTGAAACTGTCCAGAGGTTCAGGGAAAGCATTCCCAAGAACCGGAGTGGGCTAGTGACCTGAGGGAAAAAAAACCAAAAGCCCTGGGCTACAAGGCACATGGCCCTTT